GACACGACAGTAGGGAGATGAGGGCATGTGCTGAGGGGTAGGAGTGGCTGGGGAGAGGTCAATGGGGGGAAAAGGAGACATATGTGACACTTTAAATGATAAAGAATCCTATCTAATAAAAGAGAAACATGATAATTAGCGTACGACCGCTACCCTTCCCATTGGCTAATCAGGGCAATATGCAAATTAACTGCCAGCCAAGATGGCGGCCGGCAGCCAGGCAGCTTGAAACTAACATGAGGCTTGCTTGCTTCAGTGATGGAGGACTCCAACGTTCCCCGCCTGCCGCTGCAGGCCTCTGAGCTGCAACTCTAAGCAACTACGTAACAAATATAGAAGCTAAACAAAACCCCAGAAACCTGCTTTAGTCCGCCGGGCTTCAGCCAGCAGGATCGCAACATTGTAAACAAAGGCCAGAAACCACTTTTAGCAGCGGAGGCCTAAGAGCTGGAGCCAAGCCTCAAAGCTAAAGCTGGCCCAGAATAAAAAAAAGAAAAAGAAAAAAAGGAGCGGTTGGGAGCTTCCTTCACCCGCCAGCCTGAAAACAGCCCTCAGCCCCTTACCCAGGCTGGCCAGGCACCCCAGTGGGGACCCCCACCCTGATGCAGGACACCCTTCAGGGCAAGCCAGCCAGCCCCACCTATGCACCAGGCCTCTATCCTATATAGTAAAAGGGTAATATACCTCCCAGCACCGGGATCAGAGGAGCCGTGAGGCCTCCCGGCACCGGGATCAGTGTGACAGGGGGCAGCGACCAAACCCCCTGATCTCCCTGAGGCTCTGTGTGTGACAGGGGGCGGGGCCACAACCTCCTTATCCGCCCTGCTCTGTTCATGACAGGGGAAGGCGCCCCAACGCCCTGATCAGCCCTGCTCTGTGCCTGATAGGGGGGAGCTCCCCAACCCCCTGATCGTCCTGCGGCTCTGTGTGTGACAGGGTGCGGAGCCCCAACCCTCCCTCCCCCCACGGGCCCTCCTCTGTGTGTGACGGGGTAGAGCCATAACCTCCCCATTGGCCCTGCCCTGAGAGTGACAGTGGCGGCGCCCCAACCCCCTGATCGGCCCTGCTCTGTGGGTGATAGAGGGCAGCTCCCCAACCCCCTGATTGGCCCTGCTCTGTGCCTGACAGGGTACAGAGCCCCAACCCTCCTGATAGGCCGTGCTCTGTGAGTGACAGAGGGTGGCGCCGCAACCTCCCCATCGACCCTGCCTTGAGTGTGACAGGGGATGGTGCCCCAACCCCCCAATTGGCCCTACCATGAGCGTTACTGAGGGTGGCATCGCAACCTCCCAATCCGCCCTGCTCTGTGAATGACAGGGGGTGGCATCCCAACTCCCCAATCGGCCCTGCTCTGAGCCCGACCAGGGGCTGCACCTAGGGATTGGGCCTGCCCTCTGCCACCTGGGAGCAGGCCTAAGCCAGCAGGTCGTTATCTCCCGAGGGGTCCCAGACTGCGAGAGGGCACAGGCCGGGCTGAGGGACCCTCCCCCCGCCCCCCCCCCCCCCGAGTGCACAAATTTTTGTACACCGGGCCTCTAGTTTAAAAAATAAAAATAAAAAGCATCTTTAATGTCCAACATTAAATAAATGGGGAATGGTTACATAAAATATGGTCTTTCCATAAACTATTGCAAAGCCACTAAAATTACATTCATGGTATGGTTTTAGAAGTCAGGATGTCACCATTACCTTTATTTTTAAAATATATTTTTTATTGTTAATAGTATTATGGATGTCTCCCATTCCCTTTCCCCTTTAACCCTGTCTGCCCAGCCCCTACCCATCCCCAGGTCTTCACCACCCTCTTGTCTGTTATTTTTAAAAATGTTTTTATTAATTTTTAGAGAGAGAGGAAGGGAGAAGGAAAGAGAAAGAGAAACATCAATGTAAGAGGGAAACATCAATCTGCTTAGGCAGCCCCCTGATAGGAATGGAGCCTGCACCTGGGCATGTGCCCTGACTATGAATCTAACCAGCAACTTTTTGGTGCATGGGACAATGCCCAACCATCTGAGCCACATCAGCCAGGGCTATCATTACCTTTAGGGAGTGGGGTGATTGGCAGAGGGCATTAGGGAGCTTCTGAGAGCTGGTAATATTCTGGATTCTGGTTATACAGGTGTATTCACTTTGTGAAAATTTACTGAGTTGGACTCTTTGGATATGTATACTTTTCTGTATGTATGTTATTCTTCAACAAAAATGTAACTTAAAATTGTGTCTTTGAAAGTTTGTAGTAACATGGAAATATGTGAGGAAGGCAACCTTAAGTTAAAAAGGTAAAATAAAGAATTGTGCATTCAGTGTAATCTGAAGTTTGCAAATAAAAAATGCATTAAAAGGCAATATGCTGAGTGTTTAATTTAGATACTGTTTACTCTAGATAGTGAGTTTGAGGGTGATTCATTTTTTGACTGCTTTTTCATTTCTATACTTTCTAATTTTTCTTCAATGGACAGGCATTACATTGATAATAAGAAAAAGTAAAATATCAGAGAAAAATGTGAATTGATGAATCGTGGTGAAAACCCCATAGTCCAGACTGTAAAACTGAGAACTAGATTTGATCAATTCCTGTGGAAGTGATTTAGACTCTTAGGGACTAATGTACTCTGAGGATTTATAGGAGACTGGCTTTCAAGCCAGATGCCAGTGAAAAATATAGTTTTTAGTGACTGAAATATTCTTATCTCCTTTCTGGTGTTATACCTACCAGCTATTAATGTACCTGAGAAACCAAACTAACAATCAGAAGTTCACTTGCAATTTGAACACATGGAGTTGAATGGTTTTGAGGGCTCTTTGACTGGGTTATTTGTAACACATCTACCAGACTGGTGTTCCAGTTACTTGAACAGTGCTGGACAAACACTGACTCTCCCATGTTCTTTTTTCCACTGTCTCTAACTAGTTACCAGAATCTTCTGTCATTACAATATTACCTGCCTCCTATCCTCATTACATGCTACAGTTGCCAAGGTAACAGCTCATTTAACATGAATTTCATTCTAAGTTGGTAGCTCCCAGGTGAGATATTGGGAAGCATCTTAATTTCATTGGCAGAATATCTACAAATTATATTTACAAGAAGTTGCTTGGGGGAAGAGTTAAAGATGGCTAGTTTCAACTACAGTGAACTTTAAAAAATATTTTTCAATTGAAGAGTCATCATTTCCTGATTTATATGTCTAAATCAGGAAATATATCTCTTAGGTGTGGAGATGCATATTACTTTTGGGGCCTTTTGGTTCATGATAAACATCAAGGGAGTTTTTTTTGCTGTTGTTTGTTTTTTGTTTATTTTTATCAAGGGTTTTGACAATAGTACTTAGGAAAATGGCACTGGCATTTAAAAAAATAGGAAAGTCATAAAGGGAGTCTTTTGGGGGAGGGAGATGATAGTGAAACATTGAGTGAAAGTCCAGTGGGCATGTAGAGAATGAGTTAACATAATAGAAAAACTCTTATGTTGTATGTGGGATGAATTACCCTGGAAACTGTCACCAAACTACCTAGCTACCTTTATGTTCTGGTTTCTAGGGTAACAGATATTTACTACCTCAGATGTGCATGGCTGGTGCTGATGTTCAATTTCTCACTTAATAAGATCCCAACCCTTTGCTTTTTATAGTGCTAAAATTTGCAATTAAATGTCAATAGCATTCTGACTATGGCCGCTCATCCCTCAAGGCTAAATATAGAGAAATAACATGGAGACATCTGTCCCATGTCCTGCTGCACACCAGAATGCTATCAGTATATGGACTTCAACTTCATGCCTTGACTCAGCATCAAGGGCCCAAATTTTATAACAACTGAGGGGCTATAATTTCACTCCTCTCCAAATCACCATCCTCAGCCGCTTATCTTTCTTTCCTGATGCTATGCACCTGTTATTTCTTTTAAAAGCAATTGTTAGGTTGGACTAGATTGCTTTTAAAGTGCCTCCCTTTATGTTCAACAATTCTGTGAAGAAACTGGTATATTAAATACTTTTGTCCCATACCCATTGAGTTTTAAGATGCATTTTGGTTTCTGATCTTATAGTAATTAGGATATTTTCCAAAGGAATTCAATCACATTGGAAATGAAAGTGATTATCCAGAACTGTCCTTATGATAATAATACAGATTCAACATTTATTGAATCCTTACTCTGTACTTTGTGCTGTGCTGAGTGATCTATGTGCATTATCCCATGTAAGTACCTATTTTATAGATAAGAAAATTGGTAGTTGTATTTTACAGATGAGGTAACTGAGACTTAGAGAGGGATCAGTAGTTTGCCCAACGTCACATAGCAGGTAGTGGAATCAGAACTTGAATTCAGCTGTCTGGTGTCTGTGTCTCCACTTTTAATATTTTTATTTTTAACCAGCAGTTCCCAAATTCTAGTGTGCATAAAAATCCCTGGAGGGCTTGTTAAAACAGACTGCTGGGTCCTATCTCCAGAGTTTCTGATTTAGTGGGTCTGGGGCAGGGCCTGAGAATTGGCATTTCTAACAAGTTTCTAGGTGATGCTGATGTTTCTGGAGTAGAGGACCTTCACTCTGTACTCCATGGCCTCCAGTCAAGGGCAAAAAAGACTACAGGTACAATGAAACAAAGCAGGCTTGCTCTCTCCTCATGGCTCAGTGCTCAGGGATCCTGGCAAAGATCTGACGTTTGGGTTTCAGTTGCTGCCTCTGCCTCTCCAGGAAGACCAGACAACTGGCTAGAAACTCCACCATGAGAGAGAACACAGCACATAGGCAGTGCTCACAGAACATAATATATCTAGAAAGGGCTGTACATATCTGGGTTAGGCTCAGATTCCAACATAGTCCTGACAGCTACAAAAAGCTGATGCATGTACAATATGATCTTGTTTTTCTTTTGGAAGCAACTCAAAGAGTTAAAGTAGAAGAACAGTATTTTCCTAGTATAGCTGCTTGTCAGTTGGGATTATGATACAACTGACACATTCAGTCTGATGCCATGTAGGGTCTGAATTAGCACTACCTGTGAAGCTGCGGAAAGAGCCATTGCCGTGCAAACTCTCCTCAGAGCTTGTTATTCACACTTACCTTATAAAGAACATATGTTGCCTTCATCAGACAGAGAGAGGCATAAGTAGAGCATAAAACTCACCCCACCATAAACTTGTTTCTCTCACTTTTCACTCATTTCCCAGCATGTACCTTGTATTTCCCTGAGAAACAGCTGAGGTCGCTGAGTTTTGAGGCAACAAAGCAGATTGCAGTGTTCATTAGTGTGGCTGCACATTAGAATCACTTGGAAAGCTTTTAAAAAATATAAGTGCTGGTCACCCTACCCCAGACCAATTAAATCAGAATCTCTGTAGATAGGCCCTACTTATATGCATTGAAAACAAATTTGCAGGTGATTCTGTCAGGCAAGGTTAAGAATCAATAATGGTACAAAAAATAGGCTCTGCTGTTGTGCAGACTCAATTTCTACCTCTGCCCCTAATGAGAATATGACATTGGGCAAATGGCCTACCCTCTCAAAGCCTCAATTTTCCCATGGGTAAAAATAGGCATAATAATAGAACCCATTTGACTTGTTTCATATTGCTGTCTTTGAGGATTGAATGGGCTGGTGTATGTAATGCATTATAATTATACAATGCCTAGCACAGAATGATCACTCACTAGATGGTAGCTAGTCATAAAATTAAAGCATCCCACTTTAGCCTACATAGATCTCACAATCTTCCGGTTAGATTTTAGAATCACTATGATAAGGTAAATGACTCTGCAGAACATCTACCTTGCAAACCTCTCCCATAACAAATGTGAAAAATGATGCTTCTTTGGATAAGATAACAAATAAAAGCAAACCAAAAACAAAGTAACCCTAATACTCTAAGAGACCAACCCACAAAATGCCTCAAGGAAATAACAGACCACTTGGGATCCTCAGACCACATTTTGACAACCACTGAAGAATGCAAGATGGTCTGCACTGTAACTGGCGGCCTCATTAGCTGTCACCAAGAATTTCTAGAGTATTCAGGGGTCACAATACAAAAAAAAAAAAAAAAACCCTTAATATCTGTTGCCTATTACCTTACAGGATTTACATGTTTATATTAACTCTTTACCTTCTGGTGGCATGTGAATTTGTGACGCCTGGTACAGAAACCACCCAGAGACCTTTACAGTTGAAGCAAAAACCTACAAATATCTAAGTGGTAGAAAGGATTTAAGGAGAGAGATGTATCAAGAACAGAATTTCTGCCCTGGCCCGGTAACTCAATTGGTTAGAGCATCATCCTGATACACCAAAGTTGCAGGTTCAATCCCCAATGAATGCATAAATAAGTGAAACAACAAATCTCTCTCTCTCTCTCACCCTCTCTCTCTCTAAATATCAATAAAAATTTAAAAGAAAAGAAAAACAAAGAACAGAATTTATCAGGCCCTAAGAGACATCAAAGAGGGCTACCTCTTTGAGGGACCAGATATTAGATCTCAGTATAGTTTCAAGTTAAGTTTAAAAATCTAGTATTCTATCTTACCTCCAGAGCCAAATAAAGATAAAATTGCAATCTCATGGTGAGTCTCTGCTAGTAGCCAGAGATAAGGCACATGAGAGTCACATTCATTACACCCTGGGCAGTATCTTTCAAAGGAAATCTGGTTTATGTCTATAAGCATAATTCTTTAATGTGATAATAAAATGGTCCAGGGTGAATGTAGAGCCTCCAGTTGAGGGAAGTGCAGAGGGGAAATGAAAGGAGGCTGCCGGAGAAAGGACAAGGCACTCACTTCCATCCCCAGCTGCTTGTTGAATGGGATTCCCTTCTGTTCTTTTTTTTTTTTTTTTAAATATATTTTATTGATTTTTAACAGAGAGGAAGGGAGAGGGATAGAGAGTTAGAAACATCGATCAGCTGCCTCCTGCACACCCCCTACTGGTGATGTGCCCGCAGCCAAGGTACATGCCCTTGACCGGAATCGAACCTGGGACCCCTCAGTCCGCAGGCCGACTCTCTATCCACTGAGCCAAACCAGTTAGGGCCCCTTCTGTTCTTATAGAACAAAGGCAGCTGTACAGATCTCCACCCAATACAGGACCCCCCCTGCATTCCCCCCCATATCCCCCCACCCCCCCATTCTTGTCCCAGCATGTGGTCTGAGCCTGGTGGCTATAAACAAAAGCACCAATAGCACCAGGGCCACACCATCCGTCACCTCCCTCACACATGCGCACACCACTTGGATGCAAGGAACTGCAGGATCCAGGGGTGAGCCCTGAAGACCCCAAAACACCAAGGGTTTACCTTTACCCAGGTAGAATTTTTTTAAAAAAATTATTTGTTATTTATTTATTTTCATTACCATTTATCCCCTCTTCCGCCTCCACCTACCCCTCCCTGCCCCCTGCAATTACCACACTGTTATCTCTTGCCCTATGTACTTGAAACAAAAGGCCAGGAAGGTTTGTGAGTTATGCTGCTGCTGAGGTCAGACACTGCTTTGATATGCAGGGAGAATTTGAGAAGTGCTTAGTAAGAGAAAATAAATTGACTTGTCAAGTTCTTTCTCTCTCAATAGCGATAAATTCTTCCATAATATTGTTTCCCAGTACTAACAAGCATTGGCTTTCTTGCTTCTCTTTGTGTTTTAAGTCATGGTTCCTTGACAGTATGGTAAGTGGGCCTCCATTTTTCACTCTTGCCCCAGGCCAAGCACATGTTAGAAGCTGGCCTGTAGCTAACACAGTAAGATGTGAGAAAAGGAATGTGGTATAACTATTGGAAGGGAGACAAAGTCATCATTATTTGCAGCCAATTCAGTTGCCTATACAGAGAACACCCAAGGGAACCAACTGAAACACTCATAGATTTAACAAGAGAGTTCAGAAGATATAGCAAAGTGGCTGAATACCAGTCAATAATTTTCCTGTAAGCCAGCAGCAACCAGTTAGAGATATAATAGATAAAAAATCCATTCATGATTTTAAAAAATAGCATAAAGTCCCAGGAATAACTTTTTAAAAATGAATAGACTATACAAAGAAAAAACAAGGATATTTGTATATCTCTCAGCAACCAAGCTTTAAATAAATGAAAATTGATACCATAATTCTGGATGGGAAAACTGTATTTTATAAGAGAGCAACTTTTAAAAAATTACATGTTTAATTCAAGCTAGTCAAAATTCAATGTTATTTTACCTTGATAAAGTGATTCTAAAGTTCACCTAAAAGAATAAATAGGAGAGAATGGCAAATAATTTTTGAAAAAGAATAATAATGATGGAAGACTTGGATAGTAAAAGGTATACTAGGCAAGATACTACAATGTATACATAGTTGTAATGTCTAAAACATATTAGTGCTGTAACAAGAATCAAAAAAGAAATAAGCCCTAACCGGTTTGGCTCAGTGGATAGAGCATCAGCCTGAGGACTCAAGGGTCCCAGGTTCGATTCCAGACAAGGGCATGTACCTTGGTTGCAGGCACATCTCCGGTGGGAGGTGTGCAGGAGGCAGCTGATCGATGTTTCTCTCTCATCAATGTTTCTGACTATCTCTCTCCCTTCCTCTCTGTAAAAAATCAATAAAATATATTTTTTAAAAAAAGAAAGAAAAAAAGAAAGAAGTTGGACAAAAAAAGTCTTGGGATTGATCTACTAAAAAGATAAGAACCTGATATACAATAACCGAAGTATCACAAACCAATGAGGACTGAATTAGTCATCAGTATTAAATGTAAAAAACAAAACAAAACAAAACAAAACAAAAAACCCACATAAGACTTTAATGAAATATAGGCAAATGTTTAATCCTGAGACTGGGAAAACCTTTCCAAGCATAAAAACAATGGAAAAAATCATAAAAGCATTGCTAGAGTTGACACCATCAAATTTATTGGCAAACACAAATGGAAAAATATTAAAAGCATGTTTGATGTTAGTATACTAGAAAGAGCTCTTATGAATCAATCAAAACCACCAATACAAAAATGGAGAAGGACATAAACAGAAGAGATACATATAACTAATAAGTATATGAAAAATATTCTAACACACTAATATTTTATGAAATAAAATTTTTAAATGAATGAAATTGGTGAAGATGAAAATCTGAAATTCTCAATGCAGATCTGATGTGGTGAAATGTACACACTTATGTACTGCTGATGGGAGGGTAAATTTCTTTTCTGGAAAGCATATTAGTAGTATGTATCAAGAGCCTTTTAAACATTCTTACCTCTTATATGAACTAAAGGAACAGCAGCAGCATATTGAGAAACAACACAGGTTTAAGTTGAGTACCCCAAAGGTGGCAACCCTGATTTGAACTAAGGGAACTGTTTCACTCCTTGATTCATTTCCTCATTCATAAAATGCAGAGAATTAACAGTACTAATCTCACAATATATGCAAGTCACTGAGTATAGTGTCCGGCATTCTCTAAGTAATAAGTAAATGTTACCTCTTTATATATGTAAATTACATGTAATAAAAAGTTTGTAATTTTGACCCACTCAACTTCTAGAAATTTATCCTAAGGAAAATTCAGGAATTCAGAAAAATTTTTATATACAAGGATATGCATCACATCCTCATGTGCACAAGCAACAGTCATTGAAACAACATTAGTATCTAGCAATAAGAGAATAGTTAAATGAATTATAGTACATTTAAATGATGCTGAAGTATTATGAAATCATTTTTAAAAAAAGAATGTGATTTTGAAGACACTCTAGATATTCAAAAGATGCTAACAAGTTACAAAAGGCAGGGTATAAAACTGACTCTAAAGTAGAATCAAATTTTGAAAAACTAATATCTATTTTGTACATAGAGAGGTACTTAAGGAAAAGGTCCATTAAAATATTGACCAAATTATTAACAATGTTTATCTCTCCATGTTAGGGTCATGAATTATTTTTCCTTATATTACTTATTATTCAGTATTTTATACATTTTTATAATGAATAGTATTATTCCCATTATCATATAATTTGAAAGGGCAAATAGTAAAGGGTGTCCCAAAATTCACGCAAGAAG